ACCGCGGCGCTGGGAAAACGCGCATCTTCCACGCGTCGCTCAGCTGGCGCGTCTGCGACGTGTAGAGGCCCTCGACGTACCAGCGCCCGTAGCTCAGCGCGGAGGCGTACCTACGAGGGCCCGGTGCGAGGCCGCGAGAACGGGACCGCGCGCGCCGGGGCGCGCTGCGCCGCCGGCCCCATGTTGTCGATCTGGCTCAGCTTCGGCGAGATGCCGCAGAAGAGCACGAAGACGAGGACGAGCATGACCATGCTCAGCTGCGACGCCATGGGGTCCTGGGCGATGCTCAGCGCGTACGCGAAGCCCGACACCGCGAACCTGCGTGGAATTCAAATCTTCAACACGACTTCAATGTGAGCGTATGCGACCGTTTCGACGCAAGCTCTTCGGCTGTGCTTCGAGAACTCGACGAGAGCAATCGATTCGTCCAAAAATCAGCCGAATCGACTTCGATGTGACCGAGCTAGAGAATTCTGAAGTTTGGTGGGGACCCCCCAAACCAGTGGTTGAATTCCACACAGCCGCGAACATGGCGGAGAACGTCAGCGCGAAGAGCTCCTCGATGGGCGCCAGCGGCGACGCCAGGGGCACCTACCGCGACACTCTGTCGCACACCAAAAAATAAAACGACGACGCCGAAGCCGCGCGAAGGTCGCGAGGGTGAGCGTCGCGAAGACGGCGAGCCGCGGCACCTCGACGGCGTTCTTCGCCAAAAAATACGCGAAGCGGTCGAGCTCCATGCCCGAGCCCGGCGCCGCCTCGCGCCAGAAGACGGCGCGGTCGCTGCCGAAGACGCGGAGCGACGCGAGGGACGCCGTGAGGCCCACGCCGAGGTTCAGCATGAAGAAGAGCGTCTGCGCGTCCTTGAACCTGGGCGGCAAAAGGGTGATTCAACGTCGCTTCAACGTGAGTGTTCCGCGCGCGCGCGTTCCGGAAACAGCATCCACGCTTCGAGACCGTTCCGAGAGATGATCGCTCGTCCAAAAATCAGCCGAAACGAGTGGAAAACGGCCGAGATCGGAGCCTTTGAAGTTGGGAATTTCGCTCTCTTTTGCCGCCCTGCCTTGAACTCGAAGTCCTCGTAGAGGAGGCCGAAGAACGCGCCGCAGGCGAGCTGGATGCAGCAGTCGACGGCGAACTGGTGGCGGTCGCGCGCCAGCAGCAGGCACGTCCGCCGGAAGAAGATGTTGAACTGCGAGAGCTTCGTGGCCATCTTCCGGACCTGCCGCTGCCGCTTCCGCGACGCGCGGCCGAGCTTCCGGTGCGCGCGGCCTGCGTGGATGTTACATCATCAACCCGAATGCAATGGGTGAGAACTCGACGAGAGGCAACGAGTCGTCCAAACATCGGCCGCGTCGACCTCGATGCGAAGTTTCGCTGGACGCGGCGCGCGACGGCTCGACCGCGACAGGCGCCCCGCGGGCTCCAGCCGCCCCGGCGTCGTCGGGTGCGGCGCGTCCTCGAGCGTGTCGCGGGACTCGCCCGCGTGGCGCTCCCAGAGCTCCGCGAGCGCCGCCGCGTGCTGCCGCGCGCCCTTGCGGCTGTCCTGGACGCCCGCGACGTCCGCCAGCGCGCCGGCGAAGGGCGACGCGCCGTCGCGGACCGCGGCCTTGCCCGCGATGACGTCCATGAAGAAGTCCGCCGGGTTCTCGAAGGCCGGCATGGAGAAGCCCGACGCCTCGAAGTAGGGGAGCGCGCCCTCGGACGGCCCGCAGTACGCGGTGCGCCCGCCGCGGCACAGGAGCAGCACGTCGTGGAACATGCGGAAGATGAAGAAGGACGGCTGGTGGAGCACGACGACGACGTTGACCTTCCGCCCGCTCAGGACCCGCAGCGACTGGACGAGCTCGAAGGACGTCGTGCTGTCTAACCCGCTCGTCGGCTCGTCGAGGAAGAGCAGGCTCGGGTCGCTGACGATCTCCATGGCCACGTTGACGCGCTTCCGCTGGCCGCCGGAGATGCCGCGCTTCTCCGCGTCGCCGATGACGGACCCCTCGATGTGCTCGAGCCCGAGCACCTCGAGCGTCCGCTCGACGACCTTGCGCACGTCCCACGCCGTGTAGTGCCGCGGCAGGCGCAGCGCGCCGTAGAACTCGACGTTCTCGCCCACCGTCAGGTTCGTGTGCATCGTGTCCTCCTGGGGCACGAACCCGACGAAGGGGCCGAAGCCCTTGACGCTCTCGGGCACGCCGTTGATGGCGACGACGCCCGTCGTCACGCCGTAGGACGCGCGGCCGCTGAGCACGTTGAGCATCGTCGTCTTCCCCGCGCCCGAC